GCCCCTGGCCACTATTTGCAGGTCTGTTTGCAAATCTCCTCTTTGAAGGGGAGCCTTTAAGCTTGGTGACAGGAAGCAAAAGAGCCCCTTGTTCCCCTGGAGCTGTGGAACAGCAGGGCAGGTGGGGCAGGACTGCAGCCATGGCCTTTCCCACTTCCCCCCTCCCCCCGCCATCCACCCCCAGCCATCTGCCTAAGAATGGCCCGTGGGGACACCTCTCCCTGCTACTGCTGAGCCTGTCCAGGCAGGCAGTCACTGCCCAACCTCTTCCAGGCCATGAGGAATAGAGGAGAGTCATGTATGGCCCCAGACAGCCTCCAGACCTGGCTGGGCTCTGGCAAATTCCTGTGCTCTGAGCCAGCAGGCAGCCTCATCAATTTCAATAAACTGGAGCTACCTGCAATTAATTGAAAATTTCCCATGGCAGCTCCAGGTAGCTTGGAGTCTAGCTGGCCAGATTGCAGGACATGGCTAGCTGGGAAGGGGGAACGGAGAGGGGTTGGGAGGGTGAATAAGGCTGGGAGCTGAATTGGGGTCTCTCACCCTGGGATGTCCAGGAGTGACTGGCATGGGCACCTTTCCTCTGCAGCACTGAGTCTGTCCAGGCAGGTGCTCACTGTCCAACCCTCTGCCCCACAAGTTCTGGGGAGCAGGTGGGGAGCTGTGGTTGGCCCCAGACAGCCCCCAGACCTGGCTAGGCTCTGGTGAGCCCCGTGCTATAGGTGGGGGGAACAAGGTTGTGGGGGCCAGATCAGGTCCCAGTGAGTTGGGGGCTTACTTCAAGGGGCAGGGGCAGTAGCTCCCCCAAAAGTGCCTTCTCTCACTGCTCCCAGCTGCCCCAAGAAGCATGACCAGCACCCACCACCCCACTCTAATCCCAATTTATCAAAACACAAGTCTTTCTTTACTTCTTTATTTCTTTTTAAATGGATTTTTCTTGCTATTTTTTAATTTTATCGTTTAGTGGCTGACTTCCCTCATTTCACCTCCCTTGCCTGACTCCCATTTCCTTTACACCTCCCATTTAATTACCCACCCCCATCTCATTAACTTTCTACCTCCCAGTTTCATATTCGCCCCCCAATCTGTCACCCCACCTCACATAGAGCAGGGATAGAAGCATATCCTGGCTCGCCAGTCCTTTAGTGGCAACTCATAGCTGTAGCTCCTAGTCAGGCCCCTGCTTACGAGTTCTCTAGTGGCAAGTCACAGCTGTGCAGGTTGCAAACATTCAGAGAAGTTTTCTAACCTTAGGGCCTTGTCAGACTTTACGAAAGCCAAACAAATGTAACCCAGGCGCACGGCACTGCCCGTGGCCACCCCGGAATAGTGCGATCCTGGGGTGCCCGGGAGCCAGTGACCTTGCCCAACCCTTCTAGTGGCTGCAGCAGGTTCCTCAAGAAGCGGGTTTCCCTGTACAGAGGATGAGCCTTGCAAACAGGGTTAACTATATACAGGCAGTCCTTGACTTACAAAGTTTCGAGTTACAAGGTTACTTACAAGGTTTATAGATTGACACCCTGTTTCAACTTTCTGAAGTCAGTTTTGACTTTACAATGCTTGATCCAATGTGATGCCACACCAGCAAACAAGTTCACTGCGTCACCCATCTCCCTGGAGAACATCTGTCCAAACTTCCTTGGACACTTTTGTTAAGAAAGGAGACGAGACTCCAGAAAAACCTGCAGCCAAGACTCCTGAGAAAACTCCAGTCAAGAACCCTTCAAAAAGTCCAACCAAGAGCCCTTCAAAAAGTCCAGCAAAGTCACCTCAAAGAAGTCTTTGTAAATTAATATGATTGCTATTTACAATATAAGTACATTAATGTAGCTATATTACCCATCTATAATTGATCGAGTACAAAATTCTGAGTTATTTTTGGTGAAAATAGGGTATCGGGCCTAGGTTCAGGAACCAATCCCCCATTTATAACATTGTTTCTTATGAGAAATTGGTTCTGAGTTACATTTCGACTTCAGATGCGTTTTTCAGGAACCAATTGTGTCATAAGTCTGAGGACTGCCTGTACAAGATTTAATTATATACAATATCCATTACAAATAATCAAACAGGTTTAATACATAAAGGCTATTAAAGAGAACATACAATACACACCCACAAGCCCAGTAATGACAGTCACAACATATAACTCTTCCTTTGAATACCCATAACCTAAAAGGAGAGTACTAATCACAGATAGATATTAAGGTACCGACATTGAATCAATTGAGTTACAGTCTTATCGGCTTGCCCATACTTATTTACACATCCAGTGAATAATTTTTATACACAAGGATGAATATGATGGCTCTCTGCACACTTAGCAGCCTGGGGTGATGGCTTGAAAGAAATAGCCACTTCTTTGCCCCTCTCACTGGAGCATGGGCAGGTCCTCCTTGGCTTGGGTCCCTCTGTGCTTGCTTCAGGTGTCACACGCTGCCAGCCATCGCTCCCTCACTGGCGTCTCTGCAATACACTTCTCTCCCCTGATCTGCGTCCCCTGACACAGCTGGCTACAGAGTCTGGGCTTCTGGCTCTGGCAGCCCCCCTGGCCAGTATACACATGCCCCGCCAGGTAATCAGGAGAGGGTTTTGTCACCCGGGGGGAGGGGGCGGGGGAGGGGGAAGGAAGACCCTATTATCCATGACCTCTCTAGCCAGTCCCCCCCCCAGGGATTTCTTCTGGAGGCTTCCACAAGGACCCTTGTTCCTTTTTTCTCTCCCAGAATGGGTCCCTCCAGGCAGACTTCATCTGCTCACATTATGATGCCTTCCCCCTTTCTCAGCACATTGTCTGTAGCGGGGCAGCTTTCCCATGCTGCTGCCCAGCTGTGCTCCTCACGAGACACTCCCCCTTTAGGTAATCACAACCTTACTGCTTGTTACACAAATGTTAATCAGCTTAGTGAAAATCAGCTTACTGGAGCAGTCACACAAAAGGCTAAAAAACTTTCTTTGGCTGTCCCTGGCCTGCACAGCTGACTTGCACCTAAAGGCTTTGCGACCAGAGGTGGGACTAGGAGCTGTAGCTGCGAGTTGCCACTACAGGGCTGGTAAGCCAGGACAGGCTTCTATCCCCACTCTATGGGCAGGGGTCTGAAAGGTGGGTTGTGGGGCAAGAGTGGGGAGCAGGAACATGAAACTGGGAGGTAGAGAGTGGGTTCACGAATGGGAGGTGGAAGGTTTTCCCGTGAATCTACCCCCCCATGCCATTCTGCACCTGGAGCTCTCATGCAGCCAGTTGGCCAAGCACAGGACTGGGGTCACATGTTCCCCACAGAGGTGGCCAGTCCATGCCAGGGGCCATTCTCCTCTGTAGGGACTGGGCACTGGCAGCCATGGCCTGTACATCTGGGGCAAGCCAGTCTGCATTTCCTGGGACCTATACAGGTTTCAGCCTGAGTCCCAGTGTCCCCAAAGAGCCCCTGAAATGGGCCTGAATTGGAAACATTTATCCCAAATGTGCTTCCTCCCCCTCCACCCCACAAAAAAACCCAACAAACAAAAAACAGGTAGCTGACAGTACTTACACAGATGGGAAAACTGAGGCATGGGCATTGGGTGAGTCACCCTAGGCCACTCAGGACCCCTGTAGCAGAGGATTCTGCAGCCATACAACTATGCTACTTACACCATCAAGGATTACCATACATCCGGGTTTTCCTAGACATGTCCTCTTTTTTGGCCCCCTGTGCTGCTTCCGGGCGGGTTTTTAAAATAAGAGCAAATGTCCAGGTGTTTTGCTGTTCCTTCTGCTCTCCAGGGCTGGCTGCTTGGAACGGGGAGCCGTGGGCAAAGTGATTGGCTGTCTGGGGTTATGTGCCTCCTGCATGGGCCCCGGCAAGCCAGGTAAAGAGAAAGTGTGTGTGTGCATGTGTGTGTGTGTGTGCATGCGTGTGTGTGTGTGAGCACACATTGCTTGGGCAGCAGGGTTGGGGGGGCAGGCATCTGCAGGTCAGGAGTGAGAGGCACCATCAGGGCTAGAGGGGCATGGGTCTGTGGGTCCAGAGTGCGGGGAACCGGCAGGGCTGTGGGAGCAGGGGTTTAGGTGTGAGGGCAGAGGTAGGGCACAGGCATATCACTGCCCCCCCACAATCATATGCCCTTTCTCTGCTCCTCCCTTTCCAAGGTGTCCTCTTCCTTGCTGCTGGAAATATGGTAACCCTACCTTTGCCCCTGCCCTAACTGGGGTCTCTGGGCAGCCCCAGCACTTATACAGATGGGGAAACTGAGGCACAAGCATTGGATGCCTCACCCAAGGCCACACAGGACCCCTGTATCAGAGGAAGGAGCCTTAGAGCCATGCTGGTTGCCCCTTTGCCCCTGCCCCTGCCTGGGGTCTCTGGGCAGCCCCCACACAGAGAGCAGACCCTGTAGCAGTAAGTGTTAACTCCCTTCCTGAGGGCTAACATGATGACATCAAGAGGAAGTTGCCAGCCATCTTTGTGTGTGTGTGTGTGTGTGTGTGTTAGCAGTTGCAACAAAGGCCTTTTGAGAGCAAGAAGCCTTTTACTGAGCTATGAAATAACATATGGTGTCAGAAGTGGCTGAATCCTGCCACGAACAGGAACACAAATGTGAGTCGGCAATTGAGTGATTCATAAATGACAGACTAAGCTCCAGCAGCAGCTGAGTCCAGCTCAGGGCAGAGGCTGGCTACAGAGACAATGCAGGCTGGTAAAGTTACACCACCAGAACAGTTGTATTTCCAATCCCCTGAAATGTGTCCTAGATGGATCAGATATTTTAACCGCTGCAGGGAAGTGTCAGGGCTGCAGAAAAAGTCTGAACCTTACCAAGTAAGTACTCTCATCTATTCATTGGGGATCAGGCTGATGAAATTCTGATGTCACTGCCTCTTACAAATGCAGAGAAAAAACAATATCCTGATGTGGTAGAGGCACTAACTGACCATTTTTTGGGGACAAAAAATGATTTATGAACAAGCTAAATTCAATCTCATAAACAGGAGACTTCAGAACCTGTGAACAGCTTTATCACATCTTTCATACATTGGGTGAGTCTTGCCAATATGGGGATCTCAAGGAAGAACTAATTAGGGACCGCTTAGTTGTGGGTCTTCATAATGAAGAGCTCTGACAATGATTAATTTGGACCCTGATTTAACACTCCAGAAGGCTGTCACACAAGCCTGCAAATCAGAGTTAGTTAAGCAGCAACAAACAGAAATCAGCAGTGATTCCAAGCTTTATCCGGCATGAGCTAATAAGGATGAAATGAACATTGTCAAGAAACTATAACCAAAAATAAATAGAATTGACATGCACAATGAACAATGGGAGTGGTCTCACTGGCACCCAAAGAACAACATAGTGGGAAAGGGAGCTGTTGCAGGTGGGTATTATAGGGCTTGAGTCCTTTCTTACCTGGCGACCTACCCCCTTGCGACATCAGGGTGAGACCTCCAAAATGGAATTACCTGCGTGTCCTGTTAGTTGTTCTCGTTCATCTGCCATGTCTTGATGTTCTTGCTGGGAGACACTACTTGCAGGTGTTTAGTGAGATCTCACTCTGTTGATTTCTTTGTGGGGCTTCAACCTCCCCTTTACCCCACCCTTACCACATCCCTGGCCTGAATGGGTATTGTGGTTCTGATGCTCTCCCTTTACAAGTGATCGCTTTTCACCCATGCCTCCCACTGACAGAGACAGGGAGGGGTGCTCTAAGGCATTTGGCTCTTCTTTAGCTGGCTGAGATCTCGACTCAGCGTCCTCATGATTAGGCTCGTCACGGCGTAGCATTAACAATGTTCTTTAAACATTAACTGAGGAAAATAACATAAACTTCTAACGTCCAGCCTCTGCTTGGATATGCTCTTAGATAATGTATTCTTATCACGAGCTGGACTCAATGGCTTGCCAGTGCCTCGCTGTGCCCTTTGGAACTTGAGAGTACCCACCCTTGCCTAGGTCTCTTCTCCTTTAGCTGCTGGCTTCTGGCCTCGATACTGTCTGGAGCTTCGTACCCTGCCTTGGCTGTAGGGTCTTACCCCTTCAGGAGAACCACTCCCAATGCCACAGGTGTGGTAAAATTCCTGGACATGGTTATCCTAAGATTCCTGCTAAGGAAGAGATATGTTGACAATGTAAAAAGAAAGGTCACTATGCTTTAGTTTGTCACTCAGTGACAGGAATCAATGAAGTTACAGAACAGGACTCACAGGATTGTTCTGTGTTATTAGATAAATTTACAGTCTTCATCAGACCCAGGAGTCTGGATGACAGAAACAGAGCTCAATGAACAGTCAATTCCATTTAAAATTGATACAGGAGTGGCAGTTTCAGCTATATCTGATACCTATTAAAGCCAACATAGGGATAGGATCCTCCTTCCTCTCACTAAAAGGTTACAGGGGCCAGGTAACGTTACCTTCAATGTGCTGGCATCCTTTAATGCAAAAATGACACTGAAGCAGAGAACTATAGACCAAGAAGTCTATGTGATCTGTAATCTTGCGGTGCCTTTGTTTGGCTTACTGGCCATACAGGCACTACAATTTGTCCATTGACTGGATGAAATAGTGGACCAGAAATCCTTGGAGCAGTACTACAGAACCAAATACTCATCCATCTTTTCAGATCTTGGAAAAATGTCAGGTGAATATAAGATATGCCTAAAAGCTGATACAGTTCTAGACGCATTAACTATACAAAGATGAGTACCCTTGTCACTAATGGATAAAGTAAAAGAAAAACTAGCACAAATGGAAGAAACAGGAGTAATCACAAAGAATGAAGAACCTACTTAGTCTTCTAGACTGGTGGCTATGCCAAAACCCAGTGGTAAGAGTAGGATATGTGTTTACCTCACACAGTTGAACAAATACGTGTATTGAGAAAGACATTTTCTTCCTTCAGTTGGACATACCTTGGCTCAAGTTGCAGGAGTGAAGGTGTTCACAAAATTGGATGCTAAGGAAGGATTGTAGCATATTCTTCCAGCTGTTGAATCATCCAAGACGATAACTTTTATTACTTCATTTGGATGATACTGATTTAAACAGTTACCTTTTGGAATCTCATCAGCTCCTGAATTTTTTCAGCTTTGGATGTTACAGATATTGGATGGCCTAGAAGGTGCTCTTTATCGTGCTGATGACATTTTGGTTTTTGGGACCGCCAAGGCACAACATGATACAAGACTGGATGTAACACTCAGAAAATTCCAGGAAGACAGATTTACACTTAATGAGAAGTGCACTTTTGCTACTTTACTCTCAGCTCGTGTTTGTGGGACACTGGATTACACCACAAGGAATCCAACCAGATCCAGAAAAGTTGCAGCTATTAAGGGGTTACCAGAACCCAAGGATGTCTTAGAATTACACAGATTTTTAGGAATGACCACATATTTAGGCTGTTTTGTGCCAAACCTAGCAAGAATAATAAAACCATTAGGAGACCTTTTAAGTGATAAAAATATATGGCTCAGGGGTCCACTACAACAATTAGCCTTCCGCGAGATCAAATAAATACTCAACTCCTCCCTGATACTAGCCCAGTGTGGTCTGTCATGAGAAACATGTATTGCAGCAGATACTTCATCCTATGGACTTGGAGGAGTGTTACAATGTCAAAAAGCTGGCCATTGGAATCCTATTGCTTTTGTATCAAGAGCACATGTTTCACCTGAAGCTTGATATGCACAAATAGAAAAAGAAGCACTAGCAGTTACACGGGCATGTGAGCAACTCAGAACTTTCCTCATTGGCTTGACTTTTACTTAACAAATGGATCATAAACCACTTGTGTCCCTGTTATGAGACAAACCTTTTGATGAACTCTCACCGAGAATCCAGAGATTTCATCTCAGCATCCTAAAATTCACCTACAATATTGTACATATTCCTGGAAAAGAACTGATACTCTTTCTAGGACACAATTACCGACACCACTGTCTCTGGAAGAACTCCGCCAAGAATGAGATGCCGCTGTTTACGTGGACCTCGCCGTGGAGAGGATATCCATATCTGTTTCATTGCAGATGAGGATTCAGGAAGTTCAAGAAGATGATCCTTTCTGTCAAAAGATAAAGAAGCCTGCTTAGAACGATGGCCTCAAGTAAGATTCAGAGATTGTGAGCTGACAAGGTACCAACAATAGAAAGTTAATCTCCATATTGTCAGGGATTTAGCTGTGTTCCATAACAGGGTTCTGACACCTTCTGCTCTATGCCAGGATATCCTAGAGAAGATTTATGAAGCTCATCAGGATACTACAGGATGTCAAGCCAGGGCTCGTCAGACAGTTTGGTGTCCCTCCATCAATGATGACCTATAGAACTAGGTGGCTAGCTGTAAGGTTTGGGCTCAACACTGACCAGTCCCTGTAGAGTAGTGCCTTGTGATTTGATTACTAGATTATCCATGGCTAAAGACCACTGGAATTTATGCTGGAAGTGTGCTGTGCAGCAGCAACTTTAATCTTGCAGTTTCCACCACTCCCCCCGCTTCTCCCCCCTGCTGATTGGTCGAAGGGCCCCATCAGCCCTGCTGCTTGTTGATCACTCCTGATGGCCAGGAGGTGAAACCCCTCATTTTCAATATGCTGCAGTTCTTGCTTCCCATCTGGTCAGCAGCAAATAGTGGGGCTGCCAGGGCCTCTCTGCTAATCAGCAGTGGGAGGCAAAAATGCAGCATATTTAAAACCTGGAAGAGTTATGCTTACCTCATTGTTATCGAATATTACTGCCTTTACTTGGAGAGGCAGAGTTACAGACCAGCAGAGCCAACCCTAGGGGTGTGCGGGGCCTGTGTGTGTGTGTGTGGAGGGGGAGGACTGGCTGGAGCGTGAAGCCGGTGGTGTGTGGTGGCCGTATGGAGTGGTGGCGCCCTTGGCACGTGCCAATGGCACTGTCCGCAGGGCCTGTATGGCACTATCCATGGGGCCCCCCAAAGCACAGGGCCTAGGGCAGTTGCCCCAATCCCCCCCACCCCCCAAGGGATGGCTCTGCAGACCACCATAACTGAGAGAGTTATAATGGTGTTGAGTATATAACACACACCATGGCATACCTTCAGTTTTAAGAACAAGTAATGATCCACAATTTTCTGGAGCTGCATTTAAGTAGTTTGCAACCCAGTATGACTTTCAGCATATCAACATCAGTCCACATTGCCCATGTAGTAACAGGGAAGCAGAACATGCAGTGCAGACTGTGAAGAGTTTGCTTCAGAAGAATGAAGATCTCTATAAGGCTGTTCTGATATACCATTCAACACCATTAGAGCATGGATGGAGTCCAGCTGAGTTGCTTATGAGTTGATGACTATATACAACTCTACCAACTACAATAGATGACTTGGTTCCAAAACTTGTTGATGCATAGGAATTTTGTGAGAAAGATAGACTGATAAAGGACCATCAGAGACAGAATATAACACCAGGCATGACTCAAGAAATGTACCTGTTCTTTCCCCACAGCAGGGAGTTTGAATTTCAAATGCAAGAGTACAAGGCACTGTCCAGGCTAGGGGGATATCCTGTGTTCATTTTGGGTGGAGACACCTAGAGGTCTCTGTAGGATTTGAGAGCATCTCCATCATATTCCACCTACTTACTACACTAGTTGAGGATGTGCATCAGTTCCACCATATAGACTAGATTTGTAAACCTATCTGCTTTAAATGAAAAGGCTTATTGATGTTATTGTTTTTATTATTCTCTTTTTATAGGGAAGTGAGTGGTAAAGACTCACAAGAGAATGATGTGCTTATAACCTCTCCTCTCAAGATGATTTTGCAGTTCTTTGGAAATCCTTCAAGTTTCTCCTGAGAAAGGGGGATGTAGTAGTAAGTGTTAACTCATTTTTTGAGGGCTGACAAGATAACATCAACAGGAAGTTGCCACCATCTTTGTGCATGTGTGCTAGCAGTTGCAATAAAGCCCTTTTTGGAGCAAGAAGTCTCCCTGACTTTTTCTGAGCTATGAGATTGCACAGGGCCCAGCCTGAGGGTGCCTCTGGGTGCATCTCACCTTCATGGCTGCAGGCCATAGCAGCTCAGCAGGGCCCAGGTTTGTAGCCTGCCTGAGGAGGCGTGTTCAGCCTCTCCTCAGGCTACAGCAGGACAGGCCATGAGTACAATTATGGGGACCTCACCATGCCCCATTGAAGGGGGCAGGAGAGATGGTTCAGGAGTGAGGGGCACAAGCAGGGCTGGGGGAGGACAGAGGGCTGAGGGTCAGGTTTGGGTAGGAGAGAGTGGCTGGTGTTGGAACATTGTGTAGTTTGGGAGCTTTGGAGGGGGGTGGATTGGAGCTTGGGGGTGGCCTTGGGCCTTTGTGGAGGGAGAGAGGGCTTAGGGTTAAGGTCCATAGCTGAGATATCTAGGAACAGGGATTACAGACAACACATATTAATTGTCCTCCCACCCCAGGAATTGAGCAGGAGCACCAAGTTATTATCCTGTACAGGCTGCATGAGTAATATCAATCAGTATCAGCTCATTCTGGAGGTTTTGAAGACCCAGCTAGACAAAGCTTTGGCTGGGATGATCTAGTTGGGGATGGTCCTGCTTTGAGCAGGGAGTTGAACTAGATGACCTCCAGAGGTCCCTTCCAACCCTTTTGTCTATGATTTATATGATTCTATAATTCTTTCAGTGGTCTGCCAGTCAGGCCTATCCAAGGGTAAATGATTCCACTGGTGGGCTATCTCCTGCTCCCTGCAGTGGGGAGGTGAGGTGGGGAGGTGCTGAGGCTAGCCAACATCTGGGGCTGGGGGTGGGGAAGAGAGCACAGGTAGGGTGAGGAGGGGCAGGGGAAGGAATGTGGTGAGTGACATTTCTAAAAGAGACCATTTCTTCTTTCTTCCTGTCTTAATTCCCAGGAAATCCTGGGTGTGCCATTTTTTGCACCTGGGAGCAAAATTTCTGGGGCATATTGCCCCAGAGTTTATTTGTGCACAGCATGTGGAGTCCAGTCGGAGCAGCCTGGGCTGGCAGGGAACCAGGGGGTCATCCTGCCAGCCTAGGGCTATTTTGATGAGGCTCCACATCCTGCGGAGGGGATGGCTGAGGCACAAGGGTGCTTCAGCGTGGGGGCTGCCTGCTGGCTAGCCCTGCACTGAAGCACCATGTTTACCCTTCCTTTCAAGACCCACTCTCTGCCACTGTGTGATACAGGCTACTAGGTAAGATGGATCTATGGTCTGACCCAGTAAATGGCTGCTTTTATGTTGGAAGAGGATTGGTGATCAGGAGTTCTGGGTCCTATCCTTGCCTCTGCAGTCTTTGTTCCACAACTCACTCAACTGTTAATTAAGACTGAGTTGCACCAAAGTCTCATTTGAAAGAATCTCTGGTTTTTATGGCCTCAAAGGCTAAGTACATACATTTGGGGAGGTTAAATTAGGTTAAAAATGGCCGCCCAATTTAAACTTAGGTCATCTCAGTGCTGCGGGACTCGATTCGTCTAGCAACTCACAGTCCTCTCCAAGGAGCTGTCGACTGGGTCTCAGGGTCCACTGCTCAGTCAGAGGCCCCTTGCGCTGTTCGCCTCATGCCAAAACTTCCCCTCCTGGCCCTGTGCCCCGCTTTGGGCACTGAGGATTCTTCCAGCTCTCGGGGGGTGGGGAGGTGGGAGGGGAATCTAAACACTGCCGGATGGGTTTACCCAGCTTTACACCTGGACCTTCCCTTTCCCAGGTCCTGCTCTAGGCTCTGGGGCTCTTTTAGTTCCTTGGCCAGGCCACGCTGCAGGGCTCTGGATATCTGGCCTGCACTGAGGCTAACCTGAGCAGCTCCTAGAGCTGGCTCTCCATGTGCTGATCTGCACACCAGGTGGGGCCTGAGCAGCCTCGAGCTGCTCCCAGGGCTGACTCTCCATGTGCTGGTCTGCACACAGCTCTGTCTGGCCCTCTGCCGGGGATGCATGCTCAAGCTGCCTCAACACAGCTCCCAGAGCCTGAGCCCTGTGTGCCGATCTGCACACCACTGGGGCAAAGAAGGGATCCTGGTGGAGGTCCTTTTGGGGCCCTTCTATCTCCAATGTCCCTTGCTACCTTCCCTTGTGTGGCTCATGCCACTCCTTTTATACCCTCAGGGGGATCCACCCCCTGAAGTCCAGCGCACCTGCAGCTTGCAGGTCCAAACTTGGTCCGGGAGCTCCTCATAGATTCATAGAAGTAGGGTCAGAAGGGACCTTGTAGATCATCAAGTCCGACCCCCTGCCTTGGGCAGGAGAGAAAACCAGGCTCAAATGACCCCAGCCAGGTAGATGTCAAGCCTCCTCTTAAAGACCCCCAGGGTAGGAGCCATCACCACTTCCCTTGGAAGTTGGTTCCAGATCCTAGCCGCCCTAACTGTGAAGTAGTGCCTTCGGATGTCTAGTCTAAACCTACTCTCTAACAATTTGTGGCCATTATTCCTTGTTACCCCGGGGGGCGCTGGGGGGAACAGGGTCTCTCCCAAATCCTGCTGGTCCCCCCTAGTGAGTTTATAGATGGCTATCAGGTCCCCCCCTCACCTTTCTCTTGTGAAGGCTGAACAGGTTAAAGTCCCATAGCCTCTCTTTGTAGGGTCTGCCCTGCTGTGCCCTGGATCATGCCCCCGGATCATATAGGCCAGTTAGTCTTACCTTGATCCTGGGTAAGCTATTTGAGAGAATTATCCTGGCGCGTGTCCACGAGGGGCCAGCAGGGGAGGTTATGCTTAGGGACAACCAACACAGGTTCATTAGAGGCAGGTCCTGTCAGACCAACCTGGCGGCCTTCTATGACCAGGTCACAAAATCCTTAGATGCAGGGGTAGCAGTGGACGTAGTCTTTCTGGACTTAAGGAAGGCCTTCAAAACTGTCTCTCACCCCATTCTCATTAAAAAACTAGGGGGCTGTGGTGTCGACACCTACACAATCAAATGGGTCGCTAACTGGCTGTAGGGCCGCACCCAGAGAGTGGTGGTGAATGGGTCACTTTCAACCTGGAGGGATGTGGGCAGTGGGGTCCCCCAGGGCTCGGTCCTCGGACCCGCGCTGTTCAACATCTTCATCAGTGACTTGGACAAGGGGGTAAAAAGCACTCTGTTCAAATTTGCTGATGACACTAAGATATGGGGGGATGTGGGCACACTAGAACGGAGGAATAGGCTGCAATTGGACCTAGACAGGTTACAGGGGTGGGTGGATGAGAGCAGGATGGGTTTCAACACTGACAAGTGCAAGGTGCTGCACCTGGGAAGGAAGAACCAGCAGTATACCTACAGGCTGGGGAACTCCCTTCTTGTCAGTGTAGAGGCAGAAAAGGATCTTGGAATCATTATTGATGCCAAGACACTGGTCAGGCCGCAGTTGGAGTACTGCATCCAGTTCTGGGCACCACGTTTCAGGAGAGATGTGGGCAGCATGGAGAGGGTCCAGAGGAGGGCCAGTCGCATGATCGGGGGGCAGCAGGGCAGACCCTACAAGGAGAGGCTGAGGGACCTGACCCTGTTCAGCCTCCACAAGAGAAGGCTGAGGGGGGATCTAGTGGCCTGTTACAAACTAGTCAGAGGGGACCAGCAGGTATTGGGGGAGTCCCTGTTCCCCCGAGCACTACCAGGAGTAACTAGAAATAACGGTCACAAGCTGGCAGAGGGTAGATTCAGCCTTGACATCAGGAGGCGCTACTTCACAGTCAGGGTGGCTAGGACCTGGAACCAACTTCCAAGCGAAGTGGTGCTGGCTGCTACCCTGGGGGTCTTTAAGAGGAGGTTAGATGAACACCTTCCTGGGGTCGTTTGACCCCAGTACTTTTTCCTGCGATGGCAGGGGGTCGGACTTGATGATCTCCTCAGGTCCCTTCCGACTCTACCAACTATAAAAATATGAAACTATGTGGGTGGCCTTCCTCTGGACCCTCTCAATGCTGTCCACATCCCTTCTGAAGTGCGGCACCCAGAACTGAACACAGTACTCCAGCTGCGGCCTGACCAGTGTCGCATAGAGGGGGAGGATCACCTCCTTGGCCCTGCTTGAGATGCATCTGTGGATGCATGACAAGGTACGTAGCCCTACTGACCGTGACCTCACATTGTCGGCCCATGTTCATCTTGGAGTCAGTAATGACTCCAAGATCTCTTTCTGCCACCGTGCTCTCAAGAAGGGAGTTTACCAGCTTATAAGTGTGCTGCTGGTTCCCACTGCCCAAGTGCAGCACCCTGCACTTGTCAGTTTTGAAGCTCATCCTATTTTCGTTAGCCCACCCCTGTAACCTGTCCAGGTCCTGCTGTAATCTGTCCTTCCCTACTAGCGTGCCCACCTCACCCCAAATCTTGGTATCATCAGCAAATTTAAACAGGCTGCTTTTTACCCCGTCATCCAAGTCACTAATAAAGAAATTGAACAGTGCGGGCCCAAGGACCGAGCCCTGGGGGACTCCACTGCCCACTTCCCTCCAGGTTGAAAAAGACCCATCCATCCCTACCCTCTGAGTACGTCCCTTCAGCCAATTTGCAATCCATCTGACTATGTAGGCATCAATGCCACAGTCACCTAGGTTTTTGATGAGAATGGTGTGGGAGACAGTGGCAAAGACCTTGCTGAAGTCCAGAAAGACTAAATCCACCGCGACACCTGCATCCAATGCGTATGTGACCTGATCGTAGAAGGCAATCAGGTTGGTCTGACAGGACCTGCCCCTAATGAAACCATGCTGGTTGCCCTTGAGTATCATCCCTGCTGCTGGCCCATCACAGATGTGCTCCTTGATGATCTTCTCAAAGAGTTTTCCCAGGATTGAAGTAAGACTAATGGGCCTGTAGTTGCCCGGGTCCTCCCTCTTCCCTTTTTTGAAGATGGGGACCACGTTGGCTTTCTTTCAGTCATCTGGCATCTGGCCAGAGCACCACGAGCACTCATAAAGCCGTGCCAGGGGCCCTGCAATAACCC